GACACACATAGGAACTGCACAGGGTTATAAAAATAAGAGAAACATAGTGTGTGGTGTATGGCAGAACCAATAAAGAGTAGTTATGAGCCACAGCTCTGGTCAGTTTCTGAAGATGCTATCATTTGTTGTGGTTGTGGTTGTGGTTTTGCCTCTTCATTTACCAGATAAATATTTGATTTAAGCAGAGTTTTAAGGCCTTTCTTTCTGTTGTTAACAATGTATATATATATATATGTCAGGATTTCAAAATCAATTTAAATTTATAATGTCACACATAGTCATTTGTAAAATTAATTACATGTTATTGGAAAACAAACTCCAATATTCTTTTCTGGAATAAGGTGAGTACAGATGCATTTAGACATACAGTCTACTGAATTATGGAAAGGCACAGAAGCAAAAGTCCTGGTGGAAATAATATGATTCATAGGTTTTTAAAAACATTCTCTTAGAATTTTCATACTGGAAAAGACCTACAATTAATCACGTTAATTTTCGAAATGAAGAAACTTGGGTAGTCTTATATCTTCCCATCTGCCAATGAGTTCCTTACTTCTCTGACTTTATTGGTTGAAAGAGAGATTTGATGCTTTATTTTCTTGGAACAAGCAAATTTTAGTTTCATGGAAGTCATCTCTGTTTATCACTTATATTTTCCTTCCTCTTTTTCTTACAAACTTAGAGGTTGGCTGTGAGCCTTTGAGAAAGTTTTCAGCTATTTCCTTCAGCTTACTTTCATATTTTTTATTACCTGCTGTTTGCAGAGCACTTTATTAGTCACTAGTGATGTTTACAAGGAGAAATGATTATTGCTCTTAAGAAATCTACAGTCTTAATGGGTAACTGAAAAATTAAAAAATAAACATAATGGTTCAACTGAACAGCAAATACAGTTTTAGAAGTTTTTAAGCTTCCATATAAAACAACAGTAATTTGATAGGATGGTCTGTGAAAGCTGGGTGGGACTCAACATGGAAATGGTCATATTATTTGGAGGAAACAAAGGGATCTTCAGTCTGCTTGGAGTGGAGGTCCTTGTAAAGGGATGTTTGTAAATGGGGGTTAGTGAGAACTACACCACACCAAGGCATCTGAACAATGAGAATAGAAGACCTGGCTCATGTAAGTGTACTGAAAAGGAGCTTTGGTTTCTCAGGCTGAGGCTTGTGATACCAGATAATGGGTTTCCAGTAAAGTAAAAGAATGCAAAGATACCTCTCACTATCCTGTTTGTGAGTTTGTGAGCAGTGATGATATAAAGATTTTAAATTGAAATTTAGTTTGTATCAGTGCTAATACTAGATGCTATGCAGGATAATGAGTATGCATAAAAAATGGTGGAGTCATAGACTGGGATGTTCAGTGATTCCTGGGAGGTCTGTAGAACAAGGCCAGGGATACTGTTTATGTCCTTAGAAATGTATATGCCAGTGCAAGTAGAGGTAATAGGCAGAGTAAATTTGAAATCCTCACAAGGAAATGAAATGAGTTTAGATATATTATACTCACATACTCACTGGAATGAAGGATATATTCTTGTCTTTCTCTACTGAGAGAACCTTAGAAAACATATTATGGTAATTTGCAAAATTAACAGTGGGAGTGTGATTTGTGAAATTGTCCAAATAACATTCAGTAATTCATTAGTTTCAGTTGTGGTTGTTGGAACCATTGATCCATTTTGACCAATGAAGTGATCAATTAAGCTTCTGTTAGAAAAATATTGACCAGGCTACATAAGTTAGATTAAGGGATGGATTTAGAGATAGAGAAACAACTAGATGTCTAATTTAAGTAAAGAGAGCATTTAGATATTGACACCAAAAATAAAAGCTTATGGTAATTAAAGACTATCAATCAATGTTATTAATATATTATTAATTAGAATTCATAGAATGGGAGTGAGGAGTGGTGGGGTGCATCTGTTTTCTCTGAGCACCATTCATTTACTTAAAATAGGTTGGCCATACTTATTATGTTAATAGCAGTTCTGGAAACCACACTTTGACATATCAGTCAAGTGAATATATAGTAAAGAAACTGAATGAGATGAACAAGTAACTCAGAATCATTGAAAGAGAAATGTTGCAATGTTTAGCTTCCAGATGAATAGGCTCAATAGATATATGGTATCATCCTAGTATTCAAAAATAGGAATTGCTCTCTTCTGGATGAAAAATTAGTTGTGTGTCTGTGTGTTTCCACATCTAAGGATTAGTACTGAAGAGTGGAAACTGCAGAGAAGGAGGCTTTGGCTTCTTTTGGGGGAAAAACTTTCGAGTGATTTGAGTTTCTTGCCAGTGGAATGCCTTGTTCTGTGAGCTAGTGAATTTCCCTTTATTGCAGGAGTTCAAACATAGTTGGATTACAGCTTGGTGGGAATATTTCACAGTATTGAAGTTCTGGTTGAATGTGCATTGGAGAAGTTGAAAAATGTACTTTTTTCCCTTTCTCTCCCCTCCCCTCCCTTCCCCACTTTTTCCCTCTCCTTTCTCTCTTTGACCCTTCCTTCCCCCTCTTTTCTATCTTTCTCACCTTCCTCATTTCTTCTCCTTTTAAGTTCCCCTTTTTCCTTCCTTTCTTCTCCCTTACAAAATAGAAAATTTGCTAAGTACTGGGAGTGCAGTGAGGAACAAAGAAGACAGAAAACCCATCCTTTTGGAAGTTACAGTTTGGGGGGAGCTGTTATCCACTCTAATAAATGCTAGGGAAGAACAAACATGCATCGGTGCATGTGAAGGGAATCTGATCTGCTTTTGGAAATTTGAGGAATTCATGGGAGGGGGAGATACTTGAAAGAATCTATTTGGTATGGTAAATGATTTGTTGAAGTCATTTAGAAGAGAGGAAGAAATTATAGATTATGTGAAAAATTTGAGGCTGCAACTAGAAGAAAAAGAAGAAAGAAGAGCTGGGCTTTTAAATGACGACATTTTAGTTGATTTCACTCTGCTGAGTGTAGAGTGTTGACAGGGCCAGGTTTCATTGTTTGAATTTGGACACTTAGGTTGATAAAAATATGGAGGGCTTCTTTTTATACAGGAAATTCACCTGTAGCTTAATATTCTTAACTTTCTTTTATTTTACTATGATATTTTAAACCTTCATCCTCTACTGGCATTTATTTGTGGGTTAACTGTAAAAGTTCACAAATTTTTGTCTTTCAGAATTGCCAGAAAGAACTAGAATCTTACTAATAAAATAAAATTGAGTTAAACAAAATGGTTACATAAAAATAATAGCACTTCTTGTAGCATTCAAAAATAATAAGAGTCAGTTTGAGATACAGTCGTGCTAAATTACTGTCCAGTTGTATCTGTGGGGTTGTAATTACTGTCTGTGTATTCTTTCCCCAAGATTTACATCTGAACTAAAATTTGAATAATGAAAATTTTATACATAAAAAATTAAGAGTTCTCTCCACATTATAAATAACATTTAAAAAATACCTTTCATTAAGGAAAATTTCAAACATACACACAGAGAAAGACTAAAATAATGAATCATGTATGTCTGTCTCCTTCACTCAGCTTCAATGGTTATCAATTTTAGACCAACCCTAAGTCCAAATTATTTTGGTGAAAGTGTCAACATCATATCATTTAACCTGGAAGAATTTCAGCATGCATTTTCAAAAGACAAGCAGTCTTTGAAAAAAACAAATCCAGAATAATTAATAGTAACATACCTAAATAGTAATAATTCTTTGATGATATTCATTTTCAGTGATTATTTTAAACTTTCAAAAATTTACTAATCTGAACATTTGGCATTAGATGAAGTGAAGAGGTTTTTTTTCAAAGTTTATTTTTTCTCTCAGTGTAGAGACTCGGGTATGTACCTGAACAATCAGAAGCCACTGGTACTTGGTCAATAATTTTCTAACATGATGGTGTGAAAGTCCAGATACACCAACACCACCAAGTGCATTTAAATGAGATGTCAGGCTCCATTCTGCTCGCATAAAGAATTAACCATGTAAAATTTCAAGAAAGAATATAGTAAGTAGTGATCCACAGGAAAAGAAATGTTAGCTAAAAAGTTGGTTTGCTTCTAGGTTAAAGGCTGGGGAAGGAGTATGTTAATTTCTCTATTATCTCCTCTAAAGCAAATTAAGTTTTGTATTGCCAATTTATGAAAAAGTCAATGAGTCATAACAGGAAGATTTCACTCATCAAGTCCCACTCTGTTTGGGGGGATGTACTGCAATCTAGTGACATTTACATTTTGACATTAGAAGAATCACATAGTGAAACTTTGTGCAAGGCATTTGACAATTTTGAATCTAATAATATGAATTAATGATATATCTCTACCATAAGATCAAATGAATGAATGTGGGTGAGGGGTTTTGTGCATTTTAGGTGCTTTTTATCTACTTTTGCCTAACAAATGACTCCACAACTTCACATCTTCCAACAGCGATTTAGTGTCTTCTTGCTTCTGTAGAGATGGGCTCAACTAGGAGAGTCTCACTCTGGTGTCCTCTCATGTGATTGCAGTCAGGTGGCAACTGGGCTAGAGTCAACTAAAAGTTTAGGAGGCCTCTATGTCTGGGAGAGATTCTTCCCTCATACATCTGGCACCTCAGCTGGGATGGCTGACATAGCTGGGGGCTGGCCAGCTGCCTCTTTCTGGTCACTCAGCCATTCTGTAAGGTTATCCTGGGCTTCCTCACAGCTTGATGATTGCAGGGTAGACTTCTGTCATGACAGTAGGCTTCCCTCAGAATGATTGTTTCAAGGATTTAAGGGAAGCAGAAAAACTTCTTTTGACCTAGCCTCAGAAGTCACATGGTACCACTTCTACCTCATGCTAGGTAGTGAAAACCTACTTACTGTAACGTTCAAATTGAAAGGGAAGAACATTCATATTGGGAGGTAAGGACATCGTGGGTGCTAACATAGTATTAAACTAATCTAATTATTTTTTACACATCCTTACTGTTTTCTCTCAATGCCACCAAAAGTTTTCACATTTGATTTTGTTTTTCTGGACAGGTTATCAAGGATCCTCCTCCACCACCACCCTCTGCACCAAAAGAGGTAAGCAAGTGTCAGATAAGTAATAGAGGCGTTTTTCTCTGTGTGAACGTGTTATCCCCAAATTTGACCAATTACATTATTGTTGAATAACTGTAACACCCATGTATGGACTTCTGAATTCATGAAAATCGATTGTTATTGTTGGTCCTCATGATTTTTTGTGTGTGTTAAAAGGGATGAGTTCCTCACACATTGATAAACATAGACTGGCTATCGAGATCCATAGTACAGAGATTTAATTGACTTCTTAGAGCAATATATCAATAGTTCTGATCTCACTTATTTTATTTACAAAACGTTGGAAAATCCAAAGAAGCAGTTTAAAAACGTTGTTCCTTTCTTCACAAGGACTATTGCAGCAGGCCCCTGACCCACAGTTTCCCTTTCTGTAGTTTCAGTTACTGGTGGTCAGCTGTGGTCACCCGAGGCCTGAGAATATTAAATGGAGAATTTCACAAATAAGCAATTTGTAAGTTTTAAACCACATGCCATGCTGAATGGGGTGATGGAGTCGCAACCCCTCCCACTCTGTCCTGCCCCGGACACGCATCACCCCTTTGTCCGGAGCAGCCCTGCTGTATGCCCGCCTCTTACTGACTCAGTAGCCGTCTCGGTTATCAGATCCACTGCCACAGCATCTCAGTGCATGTGTTTGGTGAACCCTTGTTTTATTTAATGATGGCCCTGAAGTGCAAGAGTCGTAATGCTAGCAATTTGGATGTGCTGGAAAGAATCCATAAAGGGCTTCCTTTTTGTGAAAAATTGAAACTTCTCAACTTAATAAGAAAAAAAATATGCAGAGGTTGCTAAGATCTATAGTAAGAACAAATCTTCTCATCATGAAATTTTCTAATTTATAAATTAAACTGTATATAGGTATGTATGTACACAAAAGAATCCTGTGTCTAAGGTTTGGCACTATTCCCAGTTTCAGGTACCCACTGGGGTCTTGGGGGAAATGAAAGGGGACTACTATATTTTCATATAACTCTATTAGCCAGAATTGTGTTAGAATATGAAATATGGAATTACTGGTGTTGTACATTTTCAAAACTTCTCAACTACCTAACAATTTAGTACTTCACAGGATTCAAACTTACACATACTTTGCTGCTTTAAATGATTATTGAAATGCTATCTTAATTTTTATGTTTTATCTTTTTAAATATGAATTGATGAATAGGAAAAAATGATGCTCACAGAAACTTTTGGCAACCTAGTGAATGAGGGAGATCCCTAAAAATTGTAGAATGGAAGGAGTCCTCATATTCTCTAGAACCCCACAGGAGATTTATGCATGTAAGCACAAATACATCTATGTCCCTCACATGTCACTTCTACTACATTTCTGCCATATGAATTGCATTAATCAGAAAAGTAGTTAAATATAAGCCAGTTCTAACTAAACAATATGTTAATAATTTAATTTAACCAATTTTTAAAATTTTTATTGAACTAGGAGGAAGAAGAGCCCCTGCCAAACAAGAAATGGCCAACTGTGGACGCCTCCTATTATGGCGGTCGAGGAGTTGGAGGAATTAAGAGAATGGAGGTTGGTGTCTCTAAAAATAGAAGCTGCTAATTTGGAATGTGTATTGCCAGAACTGTTAAGCCATGGAAACTGTAATTTTTATAATTCACTATCACAATACATCCATTTTTACTTAACACTGGGTCTTTTGGGGATTTTTTTCCCCTGTGGAATTATCTCAGCCATTTCAAAACTGTTCAGGAAGAACTGACTTCATTAGTCAAAGAATTGCATTGATAAAACATCTGAATTCTAAAGGGCAAAACAAAGTTAGGGTTTTTCTCACTATTTTGGAAAAAATGACTGTAGAGAATATCAACTTTGAAGAAATTAGCCACTTACATTTGCAACAATGCTCATCTTTGAAAAGATCTACTAGTTACATACTGTTTAAGGAGAAAAATGTTAAAATATTCAGTAGCATGAGTATGACCATATCACAAACATAGAGGAAGCACATTTAAGGCTTTTTTTTACAGCTTTTAGTTACCACTTATGAACAATGATAATTAATATTAAGTATCATTTATAGAAAGTATTAAATTTTTTTACTGACTCAAATTGTGGAATAAATTGAAATTTAATATTATACCTTAAAAATCAAATGAGGTCTTCTTACAACCACATACATATTTTTTAAAGTGATTAGTTAATAATAAGCAATCATTGCCCACCCTGAGCCCTTAACAACTTCAGATAGGCCAGCATCTCACCTCAACGAGCAACTGATAGAATTTTTTCATTGATATATTGACTTTATTATTAAACACAGTCTTGACATTTTTCTCAACATTAGTTATCCTTGAATTTTGCTCCTGGATGAGTTCTTTTGTGCTGTGCAGTCACGGCACACGTCTCCTACTGTCATATCTGCTTTGTCCCATTACCACCAGCAAAAGTCAGCTAATGAACAACCTCAAAACTGTTGCAATTTTCTGTTTTTATATACTTCAGTAAAGTTCACATTCTCAAGAAAAGTTTCCCCTTTTCAGAGTAAATTTCAGTATTTTTAAAAAAGAAGTGCAAGCATACTTAACATGATTGTCATTATCTAAATGGTTATTCAAGTCATCTGATCATGATTGTCACTTCCTTGAACACTTTAGATATTAAAAGAATACCCATTTTCCCCTCAGAGCTTGCCACTGTATTGCTGCAATATTCTCTGAGACAAGCACCTCATTGCCAATAAGCCATGGAAAAGGCAGGGGGTAATAGCTATTAAGTGTGTGTTTTGGAGAAGAGATGGCATCTGTGTTTGCATCTGGGTGGCTGGGAATATCAAGTAATATGAAGAGGGTAGCTGGGCTAACTCTTGTTTCTTCACGCAGAAGGCAGGTCACCTTTCAGCTTGCCTTTGTTGTGTCATTCTAGGCTTGGAGGGGTGGGAAAGATTGGATTAGTTATTCTCATGTATTTAAAAAATACACTTGTAAATAAAAGTGTTGCATATGGGTATCTAAATATGATCTGTCACAACTTATTTTTAATTTAGCCTCATTCCAAAATGTATGTGTAAAAAGATATATGCAAGAGGAAAAAAACGTTTTGACAGGATACACCATAAGATGTTAGAATAGTTGTCTCTGGATAGAGTGATTTTCAATTTGTGCTATCTATTTCTCATTTTGTTCTTATTGACATTGAACATGCACTAATTATACAGGATAAGTCAAAAGTAGGTTTACAGTTGCGATTATGTGAAATAGTTATTCTTGTATTATTATTTGTTAATTATTGTATTATTTTCCATACGAACAACCATAAACCTATTTTTGCCCAACCCTGAATTCAGAATAATAAATTAAATTTTATTTTGAAATCCACACTTATAAAATACTACACACAAGATATGGATGTATCAGTATGTGATATATTAGTATATTTTCAATGAGTAAATCATGTTCTTGCTGAAAAGTCTAGAAATTATGCCAGATTTATGCTAGTTCAGTATTCCAGTGTTCCAAAGACTGACATTTCTTTCTAAAGAGAAGCAAAGCATAGGCATGATCTAAATGGCTCCTGAATTAAAGGGCATATTATTGGTTTATGCTCAAGAAAGCCAAGGTCTCATGCATATTTTTTAATAACTTGCATTTAAAGTTTTAAGTGTTATTGACTCTTAATATGTGAAATTATATTGCCTGTTCTATTCAGTTGAGAAAAATTTATGAAAAGGACTCACCCACTTTTAATAAATTGAGCTCCATTTTAGCCTTAGATAATTCTGGCTACATTTCATGGTGTATTCTATCAATGAGGTGGAAATGGGAATGAGAAAATATGAGAAAGTAAATGAGGGCATTACAAAGGGAAAACACAATACATAAAAATGCAGAATAAAAATTGAAATGAGAATTAAGCATCAATAAACTTTCTCAAACATGAACTTATTTAAACTTGGAGAGGGAAAATAGGATACATACTCTGTTTTAAAATTATGTTTATTCAAACCTGGAGATAATTTCCTTTTAAAAATACATTCAAGTGGGGAAAGTAAAAGGAATGACAGAAATTATGACTACATCTGAATTACAGAACAAATCTTCATAACTAAGGTTATTTTAGGCTGGCATAGGGATTTCACCTAGAAAATTTTTTGCTCCTATTTTAAATTAAATATTTAAACACTATGGTAATGGAAATTTGCAGAAAACTGGAACTGAGCTGATGTTAATAGCAGCTGTTAGCACAACTGATCCACAATACCTAATGACTTAAAGTGTGTGTTTCTGCCAATTCAGCGTGAAACTGTGTTTGTTTCTTTTCTCAATTCTGAAATTGCTCCTTTACGATATAACCTCCTAGTCATCCAGATATGCTCTGGGAATTACAGACTTTTATTACTTATCATGAAAGCCAAGTTAGAGTTGGAGGAATTTAGCTATCAAGCTTGTGCTTATTTTTCTTTTCACAGTAAAAACAGCCAGGTCTATGAACTGTGCGAAGGCTCCCTTTAGTGATCTAATCTCAGTATTTCTTTGTCCTGTCTGACCATCTCAGTCTGGTCAAACTAAAATATTGAATTTATGCTTATACTTGCACATATCACCTGCTTTTAAGGGTTTGGGGAAAACTATAAAGTTAGACTTTGAGATTAAATGAGAATTGGTTTTTTTGTTTGTGCTGATGTTGATGATGATGATACAGCTACTTCATGAACTAACCCTAGTAGATTTATTTAATAAATTTCCTTAGAACTCAGCAACTGTATTTCATAAGTATAGTCCTTTGAAAGCTGAGTCCCTAGAAATGGCATGTTGGGTCAGAACTTCAGTCTAACTAGCTTTGTGTCTTGTCTGAGAATGGTGTCAGTGAAACTCGGAGGGAAGTGTGATGGCCATTACCTCTGTGAGCAATATCGGCTCTGGAGGCTAGGCTAGGGAGCAGTAAATGTTAAAATATGTACTTTCTGAATGGATCTAAAATGTATCCTTCTTATATTTCTATTCTGGGTTACTTCTCTGAGTTATGATAGTCACACATTGACTGAACCGTGTATCTTTTTCCATGTTTTGTTTTTTCCCTTAAAATGGAGACTTTACAACTGCAAGGATATGTGTCCTGATTTTAGGATTTTGTAATTCAATTTAGCCATATATAAAGATTTGAAAAGTTTTAGTTTATCGAGGAGAAGACACTATGATTTGAAAGATGATGGGGACACTGGCCCACAGTGTCCGAGTCATTATGGATGAAATGAGACATTCACACAGACTACTGAGTCTGGTGGAGGAAAATGGTGGGCATGGCTTTTCTCTCAAGGAGAGCAAAAGCCGCAGCCCTTGCTGTGACCAGTCTTTATTGGGTTTCTTGGCACATTACATGATGGTCCTGATTTACTATGCAGAGGTTGCCTTAGGTGGTTACCTTTTAAAGACAATAAAGGAGTCAATGCCACTAATCACATCACAGAAGAGAGATATTTGCAAATGAAAAGGGACAAGTGATTGGACTGGTTACATAGTTTAGGAAAGTTTAGCATGGATTTTAGGAAGTTACTTTGAAGTAAATGTTTGTGACTGGGGGCTGGGACCGCTCCACCCAGAATGGTCTCCTACAGAAAGGGAAGGTCATTTCTCTGGAAAGAGAGCCAGGTATCTAGCTCTAAAGTTTTAATGGTGTTTAACACAATTTTAATAACCTCATAAAGAACATTCTAGTACCACTGATCACATTGAAAGATACAGATTCATTTTAATGTCTCAACAGAGTCCTATTGAAATTGAAAGTCTGTTCTAAAATAGTAGTAAAAATATCTAAGTAAGCCTTATCAAAAAGCTGTGAATAGTTCTTCCTATGAACAGTGATTATCTGTATTCCTACCCACGAATTCGGGTCATTAAAATGCTTTAAAATGTATTTAATCTTTTTTTTTTAGAAATTGCTTAACTCTGGTGAGTCAGGGGGCCCTGGATGGGACTTCCTATCGTTTTTTAGCACTTCACTTAGGTTATCTTTGTCATCTCTGGAAATGTCCTTGGTTTTGGACTTCCCCACTGCTCTGGTTGCGCAAAGCCCTCCTCAAGGGGCCACATCCTATTTACATGCTCACGCATGAAAAAGTTTAGCTCAGATTTAGCTCTTATTTCTCGTTCATTGTAAAATAAAATAATCACTTGACCCTGTGGTTTTTCAGTGTCCAGAATTTTCAGAAAATGGAATTACCTAAAACTTATGGAATTCCCTGAGTTTTTTCTCCAAAGCAGTTTTTTCCAGATTGTCTACCTCAAAGAAAAATTGCTATGTCAACTAACATACTCAGAAGAGAGCAGGAACTAAACACTGAGTTACTTTACAAAATCGAGCTTTACAAAAGTAAGGAAAAGTCATATAATTATTTTACTTCTGAAGACTAAATGTTTAAATCACACATTTTGCCTTAATTGAACTTGATGAACAGACACTTCTCCAAGGAGGGCCTTGGAGACATGCAGAGGGCCCAGAGACATATGAAAAGATGCTCAGAAGCACTAGCCATCAAAGAGGTGCAAATTAAAACCACAATGAGATACCACTTCACACCAGTCAGAATGGCCATCGTAAGCAAATCAACAAATAAGTGTTGGGGAGGATGTGGAGGAAAGGGAACCCTACTGCATTGTTGGTAGGAATGCAGACGGGTACAGCCACTGTGGAAAACAGTATGGAATTTCCTCAGAACACTAAAAATGGAACTGCCTTTTGACCCAGCAATTTCACTGCTGGGATTATATCCTGAGAACCCTGAAACAGCAACCCAAAAGAATTTATGCACCCCAATGTTCATAGCAGCATAATTTACAATAGCCAAGTGCTAGAAGCAACCTAAGTCCCATCAGCAAATGAGTAGATAAAAAAAAACATGGTATATTTACACAATGGAACACTATGCAGCAGAGAGAAAAAAGGAGCTTATATCCTTTGCAATAGCATGGATGGAACTGGAGAGCATTATTCTAAGTGAAATAAGCCAAGCGGTGAGGGACAAATACCATGTGATCTCACCTTTAACTGGAACATAATCAACAAAAGAAAAAAGCAAACAAAATATAAACAGAGACATTGAAATTAAGAACAATCTAACAATAGCCAGAAGGGAGGGGAGAGGGGACAGTGGGGAGAAGGGTTTTCAGGAACAATCATAAAGGACACATGGGCAAAACCAAGGGGGAGGCTGGAAGCAAGGGAAAGAAGCGGGTTTGGCTGGCCTGTAGGGAAGGGATGGAAAGAAAATACAACTATAATTGAACAACAATAAAGAAATTTATTTTAAAAAGTCAAGAAGAAACAATTAACTCCTCCTTTGTGTAAAACACATTTATAAAATGCAAATGTATTTGAAAATTATTAACCTATTTCAGACTGCCAATATTCAAATCCCTGCCCTGCTGCTTACTAGCTGTGTGGCTTTGGCTGTGTCACTTAACTTCTCTGTGTTTCAGCTTCCTCATCTAGAAGGAAAAATGCATTATCTCATTGCATTTTTGTATGGATTACATGCAGATTGACACATAGTAAGCACCTAATAAATGGTAATTATTATTACTATCATCTATTTCCTCTAGTGCCATCACTATATATGGGTCTGTGTTTAGGTGGAAGGGGGACCTCCCTAATCAGAGAACAGGATTACACACTGTCATGCATTTCATATGTAAACTACAAATTAACTCCTTATTTAAAACAGTGTAGAAATGCTTGCTTCAAATTTTGACTCCAGATTTTTACAAAAGGTCTTTTTTTTTCTGGGATCTTAATGTGAAGTATATGAGTAGTGGTGATAAACCTGTTAAAACTCAGAAGAGGAGGAACTTAGAGTTAATCTGCCTACTCACCTTTTCACTCTGAGATGGTTAATGGAAGGACCATTGGCTAAATCCGAATTCGTTTTTCTTGTATACTGCATGTCTAACGTAGCTTGTTCTCCTTTGTTGGAAAGGTTCGTTGGGGAGATAAAGGATCCACTGAGGAAGGTGCGAGGCTAGAGAAAGCCAAAAACGCTGTGGTGAAGATCCCTGAAGAGGCCGAGGAACCTGCCAGGCCCAGGCCACCTCGACCCAAACCCACATACCAGCCTTCTCAGACAAAGTGGTACACACCCATTAAGGTGACTGTCCAAGTTTTGTGTAACTGAACTGAAATTTCCTGGAAAACTGTGACTATCTATAATAGCAGACATTCATTCTGCGTTATAGCAGTGAATGCTTTCTTGACAAGAACCTCCTTTTTTGTCCTTTACTTATTCATTAGTTTAATTGATGAAACAAATGAGAGTAGAACATAAGGCTTTATCTTCTTTATTTTAACTAATTTATTCAGTTGACAGATGTTGAGTTTGTCCCCTAGGAATTTACAAATCGTGTTCCCTTTAGGGTCGGCTCGATGCGCTCTGGGCTTTGCTGCGGCGACAGTACGACCGGGTTTCCTTGATGCGACCTCAGGAAGGAGACGAGGTTTGTGTGCGGGGTTGTGTTGGGAAAGAGCTTGGGTCCATATAATGAAAGCAGTAAAATAATAATTCGAAAGAATCTAAAGCCCTCATTACACTAGAGGAAGGAATTACCATCCCGGGCAAATTCCTGTTACATAGGGTGCTTAATAAATTATTATCTATTAGACTACATCTTCAAGCTGCAGTTTAACACAAATCCCTTTTCAAGTAATACATAAAAAGTTATGACCTGTTGTACACACGCTTTAATAACACACTCAGTGCTTCAGCCTTTGACCTGAACATCACATTCTGAGGTTTTACCAAGTGGGAGGGAGGACAGACTGGGGATGGGGACCGAGGCCTTTCTCTGGCACTTACTAGCAATGAGACCTGGAGAACATGCCTCAGAGCCCCCATTCCTCTGGGTACACATATATCATTTCCCTGCCCTCAACAGTTTATGTAATCTAATTTCTTGAATATATGAAAGTGCCTTTATAACTGTTATAGAAAAGTACATATGTATATGCACACATACACATATGTAAAAATATATAAATACACACTAAACACACACGTGTGTGTTTATGCAGTATCTCTGCCAAGGAAGCCTATGGAATAACTATAGTTTTATAATTTCTTTAATATATTAGCACTATTTTCTATTGTAGCAATGTAAGAAAAATGGTTTAAACCTTTGAATATGTAACGATGGCAAGTTTGGTTCAGAAACAAACTACTGTTACTGATATTAACAGGATCTCTTCATTATGTGTCAGCAAGTCTGTGAACTTCATTCACTTAAGCTTCAGAGGACTTTAGGGTCATTCGGGTCCAATAGGCTATTTTTTTAAGGATAACATAATAATGTGATTGATGAGATTCATATTTATTTTCTAGTGCCAAGCCGTTATATTCAATGTTATGTGATTCTGTCTTGCTGTTTAAAATACAAAAACATCTAAATCTTAAGATTTTACTACTTTGGGATGGGGGTAATTTTAAAAACATCTGAGTTCAACCATTTAGGAAATCCAGTTGAGAAAGTATCCTGGAATGTTCCCAGCACCTCACTTACCCTTTGCTAGGACCACAGGCAGGAGAGAACCAGGTGGCTTATGAAGCAGCCTCTTTCATCACCACACCTCTGTGGTTAGTAGAATGCTCTTCATGTCTAATGAGATCTGTGTCCCTGTTTAAATGCCTACATGATTTGGAATTCTGCCTCTGGAACAACATACAACAACAACTCTACTTACCCTTCAACGTGCTAGCTTTTCACTTTATGGTTTAAAATTGTTTTTCTGACATTGTAGTTTTATTCCACTTTAGTTTTCTGTCCCTCCTGTTCAACAGTGGTTCATCTGTTCATCATTTTTACCTTTCTAAGTATTGAGTATTGCTAACACTGAAGGTGTAGTGGCCAAAAAAAGAGAGTGTTTCCAGTGCTCTTGCCAATACTCTGTATATTCTTTTAATGTTCATACTTAAAATGTTTTTTAGTCTTTCAACATTCCTACTATTTTTGATTTAATTCAATACTTTTTGAATTATAAATATGTACAAGTAATGGTATCATGTAATACCAAAGGGTTAACCATAGCCTTTGTTGTTAAGAAACCTGAAATTTGTTTGGGAAACAAGATATATACAAAAATATTGTTTATTCCAGAATATGATCTGGGTCATATTGTAGGTAGGTACCAAGTACTCTTGAGTGCATACAGCAAGAGACATTAACTTTTCCTGGAGGAATTTGGGAATACTTATTCAAAACCTTAGGCCTTGTACTTTGAAAATGGGTAGGATTTTATCAGGTGGAGGTAGGTGGAATGAGAAGTGAGCATTTCCACTGAGGAAGTATCATGAGCAAAGTCCCCAAGGTAGCCAAGAATACAGTGATTGGAGGGTTACTAGATAGTCTGGAGATTGGGGGAAAACCAGAATAAGTTGGCAACAGAAGAGATCTTTTAGTTTGGATAAGTGGATATGTTTGTTTTTTAAAACAATGCATTACACTCATTTTTGTGTTCATTCAACTAATACTTATCTGGTGCCTACCATGTACTGAGAACTTTGTTCTATTGTTATTGACATATAACCTTTTCCCTTCAAACAACTTGGGAAATCTTTTCCCTCCTGCCTCCTTCTTTATCTCCCATTTCATTTTTCATGTTTCATAAGGCCTATTAAGAATATTCGTTTCTGTGAATTCCACATCATCAACCAGGTTCTCAATGTTTGATAGAATGAATTCCAGTGTAAACATTCCCTCCCACAGAAATATAACCTGACTTTTTCAGAGATTAAATGATAGAATTAGCAAGAATCATGCCACTACTTTAGCAGAATTAGTGTTGTGTATACTAATAATTTAGAATAAGTGAAGAGTTCCAATTTTTGCATAGGTTTAGATTATGTTTTAGGAAGTCATCATACTGCTTTGGTCACAAGGTCTCTAGAATGCTTTCCTGTTCCTTCCATCCATCCTTCCTTCCTTTCTTCTATCCATCTTTTTTCTTCTTTGTCTCTTAAATACATTTATCTCCACTATGCTCTCATTTTCAGGTTTTCTAATTCCTTATACCAATTAATGCATTTCTTACATACTATGCCAATTTTTTGGCTTCATTTGAGTGACTGAAGACTTTTAGTTTTGCTATTTTTATCCTAATGAACATAGTAAATATCATTACTGACAAGACCTGCCATGTAACTCTATGATACTTATGCTGAAAACAATCTACACCTATCACAGGACAACTAATTAGAGTGAATATTTTGATGGATTTGACTTAAAAATCTTCACAATAACTGAAACACATCAAACATTATTATCCAAAAGAGTCATATTTAATTATTTGTTTAAATAAATAAAATTACAACTGCATGGTGCAGTGGCATAATCTTACTGAGAGTCCATCTCACAAATTTTATAAAATGGGAGAGTATAATATTTCTTAAATTCCAGTACTTTTTGCTTTAGAATATTTTTCATTTCAGAAACTTTAAGTGATTTACCTAGTATGAAAGTGTGGCTCCAGAGGTAGAGAGAGAATCAGCAAGTAGCACTGGACACAGTTCCTTGTGACGTGTGGCCCAAAACGGGATGACTTGCTTTGGGAGCGCTCTATCTGTTCCTGAGAAGAAGACCATGGTTCTCTGTTACCTCCGACTTGTGTCTCCTTAGTTAAGTCCGTAGAAACTAAACTGCCTGAACTCCATGGTTTTCACTAAATTTGCTTATATGTATTTGTCTCATAGGATTACATGGGGTAAAGAAAATTGTAAATGTAGGAAACTGGGATGTCCAAGTGGCAGAATTCTCTTCTTCTCTGGCTCTTGGTGTTGGGTTTTCTCAGTAGCCAGGGCATAATCATTGAGTGAGAAAATTAATCTTGGAGTTGTTTTGATTGTGTTTTTGTTAACCACACTCACTTGTGACAGGGCTGCACAGCATAAGGACGAGTAAAACCTTGTCCTCAGCCATTCCCCCCTAAAACAAGCCAGTTCCAGGTTAAACCAAGTTTAACACTGAACTCAGACTACTCATGAAAAATTGTATACACGTGTATATGTTCACACACCCACGGACATGAGATGTTCCTTGTCCTCTTAAACCAGTTATCAATTTTATATCACAATTCTATTTTTCCCATTAAACTTCCATTAAATGTTAGGAAATTTGTCAATAGTATGGTGTTAGTTTAGATCAGTACACTGATTTCTCCCTGAAAGGTTTGCCTCTGAACATCAAATAATTCACTGGAACAAAAGTTGTTAGCCATTCAAGGTCAATTCTTTTTAAGAGAAAGTTTATCAACATGTAAATTGGTGAATAACTTTTGTAAATAATATTGTTATTTTTCTGTACTCATAAAGGCTGGTGTGTGTTCACTATTGATTATGCTCCTTATGAAGTAGTTGTGCAATGATGTAGGAGCTGTGTATGTAAATGTGAAGCAGTTTGTGTGTTGTAGGGAAATATTTTAAATAGTCGGAATTGAATACTGTTTATTTTATACTGTCAAGAAACAAATGAGAATGCTTTCTTGTCTGCATTTTTAAAAGAAGTAATAGTCACTTTCTCAAAAAACAAAAGAACACAACTTAATGCTGCTTAAGAGACAATAAAACGCAATTGTCTTCAGGGTGTGGCTGGTGGTTCCAAAATAACAGAACCTCTGCCTAGTCAGGGGTACGATTTCTACCTTGGAAAACAATCTTGTCATCTATTTATAAATTGTTTACCGCAGATTCTGCCTCTTGAGAGTGCGTTTTAATAAACAAATCAGCCAACATACAATGTAGAACTAAACCCAGAGCCACGCACATTTATTCTGCAAGTCAAATACTCTCTTTTTATGGCTCAGAGGCCGCACTGGGCTCATTTGCAGAATTCACTCCTGAATTGAAGTCCTTGATCAAGTAATTGAAGTTCAGGCATAAAGTATCAAAGCGGGGCGAGCAATCTCTCCCGTCCCTGGCTCCTGCTACTTTCCCGAGCCACCAGCGCCAGCCAAGGCGGCACTCCGCGCGCTGCGCGCACACCAGCCACACACAGGCTTTGATTGTAGCTGCAACTCCTCCGAGTCATGAATGTTTCAGCGCCAGCGCGTGAGGTGAGGGCCGCATGGCCAGGTGTAAGCTAGCAGGTTGTCGCTGACATCTGTTTGCTGCAGCCGCAGCGGCCTCCCCAGCCAGCGACGAGAGGCAGGATTGTCAGCGGAGGTAGTTGAGAGCGGCAGAACCGTTTTGGTCTCACTCGCTGCCTGGAGGCCCGAAACACACAAAGGTAGGAGTAGGGGTGGACACAGCTGCGCTCCGAAACTTGCCTTAGGCACAAATAAAGAGATCTAATACTGTTTGACTCCATTGTGGTGGGGAGACAGGGGCAGAAAGCCACTTCAGAGACACCTTAACGCTGCAACATCTGCCGCCAAGTTTCCAGGGAGTGACGGGGGACAGCAGGTACCGATCGAAGTTGCCACATAAACAACCTCCATTAAGCTGTGGACT